CCTGCCCTCAGGCAGATCAACACTCCCTCCCGGCTTAGTGTCATCTGCAGGATGACATAGCAGGATCAGTCTAGTACAACGTTGTGCAGTGTGACTGGATTATCTTTACTAACAGATTATTTTTTTTTTGTAATTTAGCCTGTAAATCCCCTACTCAATTCTTTCAGGAGCCAAATGTTCAGTGTTCACAGACACTGGTCTTCACTGGGTGAAGAAAACTAATGGATAAGCCCGCTGAATATTTGAAATACCTTCCTCTTAAAATAGACGTCTACTTGTTATATGAACCAAGTGATCTAAATACCTCTCCAGATCTGGATTCTATAAAATTATTTGCCTCTGATATGCAAGAAACAGAACACAAACATATAATAGATCACGTTGTCATAAATACTGTGAACTGCGTGTATGCCCCATGCACTGTGGTGTATTAAATATATAAAATTAAGTATATTGCAAATGCAAATAATGTATTATTAGTAAGTTTCCAGCATATTTGCTTGAACATTTTCCTATATGACATTGGCGTCATAAAGTACTTTGAATCCTGAACAGCCAAATTCTAATTAACAAAAACACCATGTGAATTTGAAAACTGCATTCTAGCGTACACTGCTAACTTTCACAGAAACAATGGAACAAATTTCCTGGTACAACACTGACAATTTCCTGGGCAAATGCTGTGTAGGACCAAACTGATTCCCAATTTAGTAAGATTTTCAGGTGTGAAGGTCGTGATTTTGGGGGGGTTCTGGAAGTCCCTGGATAGTTATGATACAGTTTCCTTATTCCTAACAGGCTAATGATGCCTTGTCATATACTACACTACAAGATGCTGAACAAACAGCTAAGGCTTTCCAAGAACAAGAATACATATTTGGAGATTACATTGAAAGACTCTGGGCTTATCTCACCATTGAACAACTCCTGGAAAAACGGTAATTATGTCTAGAATAACCTCTTAGCTATGAAACTATTAAGTCATCTGACTGGTGCGACTTCGAGGGTATGAAGCTGAACTTCACATTCACACTGAGGTGTCAGTAGGAAAGCATAAAAAACCAGTAAGGAAAATCCCCCAACCTATTCTCCTCCCCAACCTCAGTATTTCTGTTTCAGGTTGCAAATTAAACAATTTTAAATTATTGCAAGTATGAAGCACAGTTTTGCCATTTTCCTGGATAGACAGTTGAACCAGAAGTGCTCTTAGACTGTAACAAATATTCCTTATTGATAAATTAGCTGCAAAGAAATGATTTCACTTTAAAGAAAAATATTTAATCCAGAGTTTGATGAGTAATTTAGCAATCACTGATACTAGGAGTCTCTACCTGTATTCAGTATTGCAGCTACAGGAGAAGAAAAGGAGAATCTGACGGCCGAAGCCCTGGATCTCTCACTAAAATACAAGTTTGTAACGCCACTGACATCCATGGTGGTAACAAAGCCAGAAGACCATGACAATCAAGATGGGATTGCTGATAAACCCATTGAAGGTACAGATATTTTCACAATTTTACTTTGAGAAGCCAATTGTTCCTTTGATGTTCCCCTAAAGAAATGCTTTTGTGTGGGCAGTTTTAAACATGTATCTGAAAAACCTAAGCCTCACACATGTGTGGTTTATGCAAAATTTATTTAAATTTTAAAGCTCATTTCCCTCAAACCATCCTCCGTTACTAAATCATACAGACAAAATACTATAAATTCAATATAAATGTATTTTAAGCTAAACTACATCACCCCCCCCAACCCAATAAGAATTTCTAATCTAATAATCCAGCTATGTCCTTTATCTTTTTTTATTTCCTGCATACTTCAACTTAGGGGTAGATGTAGTAACATCTTTCTACATGAAAGGGGAAATTTGCATGAGATCGTCCTCCTGCCGGATATATCACGTTGTAAAAAGATGAAGATTATATCTGTAAGACACAGCATATTCTAGTGTATTGCAGAAAGAGAAGCAATGATATTGACAATGCACAATTTGTTCTCAGCTCCTCTGATGCTTTGGCTAATTATTAACGCCTTGCTCGGTGAAACACTGTGCTTTCATACAGTTCAGCCTCTTTGTTTAACCTGTGTGAAACAAAATGACACTATTCCTCTTTAGGAAAGTAAGGCAAATGCTATCCACTCAGTGCGCCCCAAAGCTACCCTGCCCTCATCTGTATGTGATGTTTGGGCCATCCTCACCTTTCCCTCATCCAACGGGTCTGACAAACCTCTTGTGAGGCTTTTCAAAATCTTCTATTAGCACTCGTTATTTTTTCCCCAAACATTTGCTTCCCAGTTCTTCCCAGGCTCTGTGTGGGCTCTCTGCTGCCTTCTAGATGGAAAACTTTCTCAACTCCTCAATTTAGCATGGTAACTTAAGGCATTTTAGCATAACAGAGGTTACGCTTTACTAGAGGTTAGCGGTTTTTTCTTTTAACTGTAGTAAGTCCTGAAACCAATTAATTGCCAAGTGTCCTTCAATTCTTCAGGCATTCTGAATAATGCTGATGATTTTTTTGCATTATTTTTCACAACTACCATAATGAGATACTGACACATAAAAACACTTCATGTTTATTTTAAGATTCAAGTCACTATACAGCATAACAACTTTAAAATTTACAGCTGGACTCCATAAGACGAAAAAACTTAAACAAACATCTGACAGAAGGGGCATCCACTCAGAGTGATCTTCAGCTCTTTGCTTTGCCTTTCCAGGTACTCACAGTACAAAGGCCCTTTTCTGAACCTCTTTCCAAGTAAATCCTCTTTCTACATAGAAAGTACAGAGCAATAATAGGAGAAAATACTCAAAACACTGCTGCTGTATAAGAAAAGAGAATGATTCTTACACACTGCAGAGTCTAGATTCACAAATAGGATTACTGAATTATCCAGTCAGTATTAACAGAGTGATGCAAATGCCTTGAAAACTGCAAAAGAGTAAAACCAATAAGGAACATTTTGCAATATGGAAATGGCATAGCAATAAAACAACTACCAATTACTCTTGTCATGGAGAATTAATTGCAGCTTTGCTGCCTCACATAACAGCTTTTTACTTTCATTGTGTTTCTGTTTGATCAAATACTGAATTGTATCATTGGGAAATGGAATTGTAAAATACTGAAGATGCCTGGTTGGATTGTCGGAACAGTTTTAATTATTTTCCCTTAGAACACGTTTTAACAAGTTAGAATCCTTCCTGTTTAATCATACAACTTAATAAATGTCTCTTTTTTTTTCCCTTTACTTCTCACCTGCCCATGGTCACAGCTGAAGGTATGTACATTTCTTATTAAATTTCCTTAATATCTTTAACTGTTAGAGATGGATTTCCTGCTTTGTTTACTTGTTCTAAGACACAATGCTTTCATAAAATTCTTGGTGAATAAATCAAGACTGTGTTATAAATAGATTAAAAACTTTTCAACTGGAGGTTTGTAAATACCATTTTAAGTGTGGTGTCTCCTATCTCTGATAATTGCAGCATCCCACCATCACAAAATTCAGGCCCAGTACTGCTAAATTGCTTTCCAGAGCTAGCACTATTGATTCCCTAATCCCTGTGTGTAGCGATCTCTCGTACAGAGTCTTCGTTAATGCTGTGATTGCTACTTCTTCAGCACAAAGCCCTGGCTTCAGACACCCCTCCATAGCTTCAGATGTAATAAGAGTATAAGACTAGAAAATGTGGAAGCAGGCGGGTAAATCCGTCTGACTTCCTCGTTGTACAGCTTAAAACAAGATGGGACAAAGGAATCAGAGAACAGAAGGTTGTCCCAGCCACTTGCAGAGCACATCCCATGCCTTTGGGGTAGTAACGTTTTTGCTGAAATGTAGGGTGTACTTCCTGCCTGTTCATGACATTTGCTTTGTTACAGTACTAAATAAACCGGTTTGGCTTAGTTTTTCTTTTTAAAATATTTAGAAATGTATATACAATTGCAAGATCTTGGAGTTGGTTTGGAGTTGGTGGAAGGAATAAAGTGGGAGAGATTGTTTTTTATTTCTGGCCCCTAAAGTAACATTCTGTTTCATTCACAGCCAAGGCTGACACACATCTTACGCTGGGTAAGTTTTTAGTTTTAAGTTTCTGAATGAAGCAGCCCCTGTCAAAGGAAATTTATTCAGACAATTGAAATGACCAGAGGGACAGAAACTGCCTTTTCTGGGTTTACAGCTCTATTTTAACAAATACTACCAAATTCTGCTCGCTGCTAAAATGTTGCACACTGCTAAGACACACACTTAAATGTTGAACAATACCTTGAAAAAGTTTCAGCTAAAAAGCTTTTAAAAAGTAAATGTCAGTTCATCACACCACCATCTTTTCCTGAAAGCTGTTTCCCAGAAACAGAGGATGGACTTGAATTTGCATCTCCTTTGGAATTCTATAAAGCAAGAGACTATGTTGTCAACGTGTCTGTCTAAATTAATATTCAATTACTTATACAGAAAGAAACTGCTTTATTCAAGGCAGAGAGACAGCAACTGACCGTTCTGATTGCTGTTTGGGCAATCCGTTAGATTTAGATTTAGAGTCAGAGTTAGATTTAAGTTTTTGCTCTGGAGATCAGTCTGAATCTCTCTTTCTCAACCTCTCTTGTTTCTGTCTGGTTTTCTGAAGTCTTCATTGAAAAGATTTAAATTCATTCTGGAAATAAAAAGTCAAAACCTTAAAAGTTTTCCATGGATGTTGTGTTTCCTTGCTGATAGACAGCTTAATCCTTAAGTCTAAGACATTTGTGTCCTTCTGGAAACCTTCAAAGCAGTTCAGGCTACAAGTAAAATCTCTCTGTACCCTGAAGCTTAGCTTGATTTAAAAGGAGCACAAGTCATTATTCCGTGGACTATAAACTTTAAAAACTAGGATGGTATTAGCAATTTATCTAGCACATTAACTCCCTCACATCTTACATATACTGTGCAGATAATGTGTAAATATTCCAATTTCATGTGAGTTTTTCTAACAATTTTTTTCTCTCCTCTCTGCAGCTCCACAACACTTCCATTTATATAGTGCACAGCCCACATGGTATACTAGTGGTGAGTAGTTTGTGTAGTGTGTGCTTAGAAGGAGAATAGAAGAGGGTATTTAAGACTAAATTGCACAGTTCTTGAGTCTTTTAGATAATTCTCTTCCACAAAGCAGCCATAGTTTATTTCCAATGGGATTGTATTTACTTTTATTTTGAACATCTCTAAATGTTTTTTTTTTAAATCAAGTCACTAAGGTTATATTTTCATTTTCTTAGTCCTCCTTCCCATTGTTAGGCTTTGTGTTGATAGCTGCCTATTCTCTACTCAGGTGAACTTCCTGCCCTCTGTAATCCTTTCATGGCCCTCAGAGATAGGCTCTTAGAGGTGGCAATCCTGAACCTACAATCCATGGGCCAAATTTTACCATGGTCAAGAGACACAGGATATACGTCATATACCTGGGAAAGATGAGGGGAAAAAGGACATAGTTCACTTTGGGCAGATGGTAGCAGCTTCCTTGGGATCCCACCACTCCTTTGGAGGATGGGCTGGACTAAACTGGGCATACAGCTTGGGCAGCGACCAGTTTGGGCTGGTCCCCAGCATCAGCAGTTCCATTGCCACAGCATTCAATGTTCAGGCAGAACTTTGAACCTGTGTATTGCTATACAAATACCAGTGATTTGCCTTTACAGTTGATGGGGATCCACACTTCATTATATCAGTGCCACAAAAACAAGATGCCATTTGTTTCAATATCAATGAAAACCCAGGTGCTGTGTTAAATTTAATAAATGACCCAGTTACAGGTGAGTTTTTATTTTTTTTAAATACGGGAAATTAGGATACTTATTAAAAAATGTCTTATGTTTAAAGGCTATTTCTCTTTTTTATACTATGTAAGCTTTTTTTCCCAGCAAAGCTAGTAGGAGTTGCAGTAGCTGTGTTAAGGTACCATTACCATGACTGTGTTGTCACTTCTTGGAGCAAAATCAACTTCTAAACTTTGATTTGAAAACCACTGTGTGAGTTGAGAGACGTAATTTGTCTCAGTGAGTAGCACTAATAATCCTTAGGTTGCTATTTCATGGAATACCTGGTAAAGAGAGAGAAAGACAGATGTCACACAGGCTGTTTGTGCCCATCACAGACTCTTCATGCTCTAGGAAACACTGAACTTTTCTCAATAAAGTGATTATTGTCTTTGTGGAAATCCACAGAACATCCCCCAGAGCTTTATTCTACTTTGGCACAAACATGCACAAGTAATTATGATTTATTTTTCAACTCTTATCTGTTTCCCTGAGTTGCTGTTAAATTTCCATGATGCTCCTTGACATTAGTTGATCAGGTCCCATCTATAAAACAATACTCGATGTTTCCTTTTTATATTAGGCATCAGAGTCAATGGAGAACTCATTGGTGATAAGAAAGCAAATGGTGATGCAAAGATCCAAAACACATATTTTGGAAAGCTTGGCCTTGCAAATAAGCACCTCGATCTCAAAGTGACAGTGACTCCTGAGAAGATCACAATTCAGCACAGCAATGAAAAAACAGATTTCACCTGGCTTGACTCAGTTACTTTGCAACAAGAAGGGTAAGGCTTACAGAAAGAAGATCAGGCTCCTGTATTGCTTTCCACACTTTTTTTAGTGTTAACCACTTTTAAGATTTGTTATCTGAATAGTCAAAAGAAACTGATTCAAATCCTGCTGGATTCTGCTCTCTGATTTGTTAAGCTGAATGATTATTTTTAAATTCCTCTGCTTGGAATAGGTCAGTGGAGACTTTTCCCTGATTTTACTAAGGTAAAACTAGATTCGGTATTGTCCTTAATGCAAGTGTCTTGCAAATACTTAAAGAGTAACTTTAGACATAGCGTGTAGTCTTTCAAAGAGATAATAATGTGCTGTAAACAATCTCCATTTTATTTTAAGAAATTGAAATTGTGATATTAATAGAAAAGGTACATTTTGTCCTGTCAGCAGGTATATTTTACATGAGATTTATCTATTACAGAATCATTCATACCTGTGCAAAAGGAAGGTTAGAAAAGGAATGGGCAGCATTTCCTCCTCAGGGCTTTGGGCAGCCTGGTCTGGTGGGAGGTGTCCCAGTCCATGGCAGGGGGCTTGGACAAGATGGTCTTTAAGGTCCCTTCCAGCCCAAACCATTCTGTGATTCTATGATTTTCACTGTGTTCCTGGAACAAAATTATTGCCTTCTCATAGCATGGCACTGCAACAGAAAGATCACCAGAATAAAAAGCTGTTAGTCATACAGCATGCTTAGTTTTTATTATGTTAGCCACATTGATGATCTGACTAACACAATCAGAAACAAATCTTCTTTATCTTAGTGCTAACCTAGACAGTTCAGGAGTTGTCTTTTTCGTAAAAAACAAAAGGGAAAAAAAGTGTCAGGTAGCATTCAGGCAAGGAAGTGATGGTTTTATCAATAACATTTTTATTACTGAGCATGAGGTACTGGATCTACATATCACTAGCCTATCTGTGATTAATTGCACTATTAGAGGACACATTTTGGTAGAAACATCTTGCTGAAAAGTTTAGGTAAGACTAGGGAGCCTTTTACAGCGAAATTCGCTGTGAGTCTTGGACTGTCTGTGAATGCACACAGATTCACATGGACTAAACTAGACAGCAAAACCTCTGTTTTAAAAATCACTGAGCCATTTATAAAGCCATGTTTGTTTGCTGGACATGTTACTTTGTCTCAAGTTTCTTCTCATTGGTGTTACCTCTGGGCAGCACGATGCCTCAAGTCACGTTCTTCTTTTTTCCTCAGTTTAACTTTGATAATAAACAGGAAAAAAGATCTTGTGCTCTCAATGGGCAGCGGTGCCTCGTTTGTTATTGTTTTGCACCAAGTATGGAAGAAACATCCTCTCCACCAAGATTTCCTAGGACTGTATACATTGGAAAGTGAGAAACTGTCTGAACAGACCCATGGATTATTAGGTATGACTTCATTTAGTATTTTCATGCTTGTCTTTCCTTATGCGGCTAAGTAATTTGTAGACAGCCTTTCTGAGCTGAGATAGTGAAGGACACTGAGATGACATTGACTGGCTGTATTAAGATTTCTGACTATGTAACTATGTACAAGCACTCTGACAAAATAAATGTGTTCGATGATCAGAATTTGCCAATTAGTGCAACCTTGTAAGAAAAGAAGTTAAGGTATATCTTGATTCCCTAGCATATATTAAAATCACAGAATGTCTTGTATCACCTAAGATTTTCCTCATGCTAGCCAACATTATTTATTGTAGTAGAAGGCAAAGTTGGTAATTTAGGGATCAGAAATTTTACCCTATTAAATCCTGTTCTTTGCCAGTGTAGTGGGTTTGATGGTGTGGTTTATCAGTTGGAAAATACAGATAGCAGCTATTTTCCCTTGCCTTCCAATTTTTACTTACAGTATCAGGCAAGAGCAGCAAACGTTCATTTTGGGCCAATATGTTTACTCATTATGGAAAATAATGACCTGCTGTAAACTTAATCTTCTCAGTCCTGGGATGCACCTTTAGCGTGAGGAGAGTGAGCCAAAGTATCAGTGGTGGTACCTTAGGCCCACGTGTCATGGGAAATGCTGTAACAAAACAGAGAAAGGATGGAATGTTATTTATGCTTTCCTGCTCCAGTCTCTTCAAGATGAAGGACTTCACCACACAGAAGTTAGTCTGATATGGTATGAATTGCAAGAAAATTGCAAAAGCCCACCTGACGTGTGGGTACGCTGCGTTACAGTTCACTCACACGTCTCTTCACCATCTTCATCATTCTTGACTTTGCCTCTGCACCTCACTAAGTAATCTAAAATCTGTGCTCGTTGTAGCACTCAGAGCACCAGCAGCAGCCCACCCCAGTCCAGACATGGCAAAAGTGTGCAAAAGCTCATCCTGACAGGAGTGCAGAATGTCCTTAGATATCAGCCTTGTTCTGAGCATAATCACATTCAGAGATTTCAGAGATCAACACATGCATTATTTGATAGAAGTAAGCTGAAGACTTGGCAAGCATGTAATAAATACAACTGAATAGACAAGACACAAAGTGAGGATATCATGAAGGATATCTAGAAAAGGCTAATTTTACTGTGCACGCAGAAGTTGGAACTGATATCCAGATAATATGCATGGAATTCTAGATTATAAAAAGAAAACAATACCATAGATACATGTTCAACTTTACATGAAACTCGGTGTTTGCTTATCCACTGAAAACCCTGAGGAGACCTTGAAAACAGCACGGGAATGTAGAAATTCTGGGGTTTCCCTTTGGTTTATTTCTGTTTTAATATGTGCAACATGCCTGAAATGGTAATTTTGACTTCTATTTTTTAGGGCAGTTTTTCCACCCCATTGACTTCACCATACTTGAAATTCATCCTGGGTCCGATCCCAAGAAACCAGATGCCACAATGATTGTTAAAAACAACAAACTGACAGTAACAAGGTAAAAAATAATTAAGTCCTTAGCAAAGACTTAGGAAAGATTACCTTGTTGAAGTGCAGGTTCTGCTTTGGTGCTCCTGTGACTCTGTTTTCCGTTCCAGGGGCTGGCAGAAGGATTACAGGGAAGATCCTGTGCACGGTGTTGATGTTCCTTGCTGGTTTGTTCATAACAACGGAGCTGGCTTGATAGATGGTGTTCATACGGACTATATTGTTTCCAGCCTGTTTTAAACAACTACAGCGTCCTCCAGATTCCTGGGTATACAGAGTATTTGTTTGAAAGAACATTTTTCAATATTTAAGAAGTATTAAAATTAAAGTATTAAAAATACATGAGCTTATGATGCTTGGCAATGCCAAGATATGATGGATTCTCACGGAGAATTTTACTGCATATTTGATTAAATCTCAAGTGCTAAACAGCTGTTCTGCTTAGACATCACTCATCTCTTGAAATATCCCCAATTGACTGAATTAATTTACTAGTTTTAAAATTCTGACTTAAAATTTTACTTTCTAAACCAGAAACATCCTATCCACTTTTAAATCAATAAATGTCAGCAGTGATTTTAAATAAAACCATCAGTACTTAATGCCTTGTTCTGTTATTCCAGCAGCTACCAATGTTTTAATTCCTGTTTCACAAAGCCCAGGATGCCTGGCCAGTGTTAAAATTCAGCACAGGAGTGCAGCTGACAAAGCAGTGGATTTCAGGATAACTCAGTGGTTCTTAAAACCGTCTGACTGCTTGACTGTGTGGTGCTGAGGGCCGGTGCAGTGCCATCCCTGGAGCTGACTGTTAGCATCCAGGACTTCTGCATTTTCATATTTTAATTTGAACCGAACCTTTGAATGCCTAAATCTTTATAAATGGATGAATACCACAGTTCCAAGCAGCACTCAGAGTTAAGTAACAGTAGCTGTCTTTTAGTATCTTTTTTGTGTAAGACCCTTTACTGAGATGCCGTTACCGTCTTCCAGTAAAATTCCTCCCTCTGTTCCCATAACAGCATTTATGTACTTATTTCAGGGCAAGAAGTGTCCTGTTTATTTATTTTATGTTTTTATCTATATTATTTATA